TCCATTTTCTATGTATTCCTTCCAGCGTTTGTCCACTATTCACCAAATTCTTTTTAATTTTCTTCCGTTTTCATGCTTGATTGTTGATTATTTGCTTTTGAGTGAAAAACTGGATTTGTTTCTTCTCCATGTAAGTGCCCGTTGGTGAGTTTCTTATGCTTACAAGGAAACTCTTGGCTCTGGAGAGTTTTTTTTTATATTAATCCATTTTCCGATTATTTATCGGGCTTTTTCCATTAGGTTTTCAAATCATTTGCTTTCGGTGCAAGCAGTCGAGATAAATGTGATATGGTGTATGTGAGCGAGACATTGTGAGGAATGGTAAAAACGTGGGAAGTAGAAAAAAATGAGGAAACAAATTAGAACGTGAAGAAGGAGAAACCATTATATGCAGTTGTCATAAGTCTCCCAAATTTCAAACTGTATATGAAGGATATATTAAATCGACGCCATCGTGCAACTTGACACGTGGAGAAGATGAACGTGGCATCAGATTTCAAACTGCTATGGGCAGTTGCCATTTGATTCCACATTTAATTGATCGCCAGTCTCTCAGGTATTTGCTTCCACCCTTTTCTTCTCTTTTGTCTTCTTTGGCATTTGATTTCTATCTCCTTTTATATCATGCGTTTTAATTTCAGATTCTGGGATAGTTTCTATTTATCCATTATTTTCCCCAATCTTTTTCCTGTTTATTCCTGTACAAAGTGCATTGCAGGAAGGCGGATCATCATATGGCCATTTTTAAAGGTAACGCCCCAGAATCTATTGCTTAATTTATATTTTTCTTCAGGGTAAAGTTTGTTTGATCATTTTTCCGCAGTTTTCTCTCCTTTTGCAGAAAATCGAAGCCATTCGTTTACGTATTATGTTTACAGTTTTGTTTCTCCAATATTCTCTCTTATTATATCCACAAAGTGAATTGTCAGATAATTTAGAACGCAGGAACAAAGAAAGAAGGAAGACATGAAAGCCTTCATGTTAGTTTTCTTTTACAGAAAGACCAATTTCACTTGCCGTGATCAACAACTGCAGCTTCTTAAAGCAGTCTTTCACTCGGCATAAACGACAAGTGCGTCTTCTTTAGCAGTAAGTTTATTAGTCTTTTTCAAATCAAATTCACTACCATTAATTAACTGTTTCTCATCAATCATTCATTTATGATCATATTGATGCTATTTGATTATTTATAGATCTGCCAAATACGATGTATAGTATACAGTTGTGCTTTGTATCTCTAATTTGGTTTCCATGCAAGAAAATAATATCATATTTGCATATCACTGTATTAGTTTACAAAGTGTTTGTGAAAAACAAATTTATTAATTGGGATTAATGTCACATATTTGTATGCTTTGATTTCTGGTTTGCTTAATTATCTAATCATTTTAATTTGTGTTAGATTAATTGGGTAGAACTCCAAGTTATTATTGAGAATGAGTCTCACATTGATGGAAGGAGAAATTTTGCATGGGCTTATAAGAGATTGAACTACTTTATTCAATTATCTATGAATGAGTGCAAAGATTGATGTGGAAGGACATGAAGGCAACACCCCAATCTACATATGATTGGGTTTCTTTTTGCTGTCAGCTTTGTCGGGTTGTCTTCGATTATGCCCCTCAAAAAGGGATTTGGATCCTCGCTGGATCCCCTTCCTGGGGATCCTAAGGATCAACGTACGTGGACCGTTAATTAAAAATTGTGTGGCCACCAATTTTTTCTTTTTTATATTTTTCATATAAAACGAGGCTGCTTTACTTTTAAAAATACAAAAAACATTTAATTGTAACCGCACAATTTTTTATCAACGGTCCACGTGCATTGATTCTTAGGATCCCTAAGGAGGGGATTCGGCAAGGATCCAAATCCCTCAAAAAGGTAATTGGAAATTACTACTGAATCCCCACACATATATACACATGAAGATTTATTCATTTAATTCAGTTTTGGTCTAACTTTTTAAAATCCAAGACATGATGATCATGTAGTACAAGCTAACGTACCCGAGTGGAACTGCAACTGCATACCTCATCAACAGCTTTCACACACCCAAAGAAGCTAAGTTGGCAAAGTAAGAACCGCATTGTCTTAATTTGTAGATGTTCGTTTTCTAATTAAACCTAATCTGTCTGCTAATTGTATATATTCTTATGATGACTGAATGTAGGAAAGAAGTTGATGTGCTCCTCAAAAGCTTCAGCTTTGTGTTTGCCTTTTACCAGTGGTTTTTTTATGCTGCTTATGGCTACGGATTTTCTAGCATTGCTACATTTGGTCTCAAAGCCTATGCACACAACACAAGTATGTGCACAATTATATCTTAACAATATATTAGTTTCCTTGATAATAAAAAATTCTTTCGTCAAGTACGGAATCTTTAATGATACATAAGGTTTAGGGGCATGTAGTGCCCATGAAAATAAAAAAGTCACTCATAAGCACATCAGCACACATTTAGGGGCATGTAGCAAGCGAGTATTCCACATTTTCTTAATAGAATATACATTTTTGAAGCGTCTTTGAATAAGAAATGCATCATCAATACACATTTTCTTTTTTGAGTATCTTTGATGGGGAGACAAATTAATTTGGTGCCTAATCTACAACCTAGATATTGAGTTTATATTTTCATGCCCGTGTAGAAAAACTCGAACCTTACTCTATTTTTATTTTTAGGTAAAAAAGAAAGCAAAAAGTCATACCAAACATGCAAGGGAAACAACAATTGGTAATTGAAAAAAAATCGAAGGTCATAATTTTCCCTCCATTTTTCTTTATGCTAGAATGATTATGTTTTATTTTTCTTTGTGTAGGAATACGGAACACCTTCAAGAGGACTTTAGCATGTCAAGTATGGAGGGGAATGATAAGAGGAACACATCAAAGCTCGCCACTTTATCTGAGGCTTTAACGAGGCCACAAATAATTCCCTCTCATTTTTTTTGTAAATGTTTTTAGTATGGATGAAATGTAACTAATTAGTTCAGGATACTAATGAATGTAACTTTTTGCACTTTTAGCGATTAATGTGACAGGACGACCACTTTCGTTTTGTGTTTGTAATTTGTCTAATCAAGGAAGATAAATAATTAAAAAGTACACGTTAGTAATTTGTCTAAATGCATGTACATGTTAGTACTAAGAGATTGTCTACAATTACTGTTTTTGTATATGTACGTAGAACTATTTCAAATCTTTTTACAATGCCACGTGATCTTCTCATACTTTGAAAGCTTATAATAATAGTTTGTAACACAATTGTAAAGAAAAATGTCATAGAGGGATGATTGATGATTGATTGAAAAAGTAATAATAAGAAATTATTATGACGTGCTCATGTTCGACTATGTGTGTTAATTATAAAACATTGTTATAGTAATCGTTGTAGCACAATTGTACAGAAAAAAAATATCATAAGGAGATGATTGAAAAAAAGAAAGAAAAGAAATTGTTGTGATGTACACACGCACAATTTATAAAATAATCACTTAAGAAATATAAAAGTATTTCCATTACAGTTTAAGTTTTTGCCTAAATAGTTGGACGAGGTCATCTCCTTTGGCAATGAGATCCTATTTATTTTCAGTAATCGCATAGCGCCCGTGATGCAAAAATGTCTCTCGCATGCGCGTGAGTGCGTGTGGAGATACTAGTCTAAGCATAAAAAGAAAAATTCACATAATTCAAATCTCCTTCCAAATGCATCATAAAAAACTAGAAAGTTATATTGAAAATTTGAATATCCTAGGTTGCCAATTACATGCTCCAATCACATATTCGTAAGTATGTTATGATGTGTGCACATGCACAATTTATAAAATAATCACTTAAAATATAAGAATATAAGAATATAACAACACATCTTTGAGGCGCGTAGCGCCCATGATGCAAAGCGCGTGCAGAGAGGCTAGTAAAAAATTATAACCTGGGCAATGAACTAACTGGAGTTTGGAATAATCATTAGAAGTATATATTGTCCATGGATTAAACAATAGTTCAAAAGGTTAAACTACTTGGGAATTTCTAGATCTACGTTTATTTTCAACTCCTTGATTCATTTCATTGTTTATTACATCCTTTGTCGCCTCTGGTTGCCTAGTATTTACTGTAAGTCTTTTCTTGCTTGAACCTTGCCGTTAAATAATTTATATTTCTTTGATGATTGTTCCTTTTTATTTATAGAATGAAAAATCACAACGATTGTCTTGAGTTTTCAATGTGCAATTGTATACTTAAAAATATGTATCGACAATCAAAATATGTCAAGAAACCAACTGAAACTTCTTGCTTTGTCTAATGGATTAATGCCATTTTTTTTATGGATTGATGTCATTCTAACTTTTGTTTGTTTACTTGTAACCTTTGTATTTTTTTTTTCAAAAAATGAACTAACTGGTGGCTTTGCCACAATAGTCCATTTTTTTAAGAGTTAGAAAGACTTACATAGGCATTTCAGCCTCTCGTAGCCACTATTGTGTGGTTCACACAATGCCAGGAATCGATCTCAAAACTTACCGTATAGAATACAGGTCTGAAATTCGTTCTCAATTACTGAATCACCCCTATGTGGTTTAACCTTTTGTTTTTGAAGTATGGTTAATGGACTCACCATTTGCATTAGGGGATGTGTCATGCACCCTAATTAGACAAATTACAATCAATTTTCTATAATTAGGCCAATCATTACTTAACGGCGGTGGCCCTACCCAAGTAATAAAATTTTCAGCTATTGTGAAGTGTACACGCCACCACACATTAAAACCCGCCAAATCCCGAAAGCTTGTGTGAAAAATGGTGTTGACTTACTGATCATATCGGGAAGCAACACCACCGACTTCTCTTATACATTTCACACGCGAATTTTATAGGGTTTTGGATCAAGAGCCCTAAAATTTGAGGCAATTGAAGAACTTAGGGTTTGCTAATCAGTCCAAGAAGCAAAAACGCAGTTCGTTTCTGATTCAATTGAGCTAGGGTTTCTCTACCTTGGTTCAAAAATGGCGATAATCGGCGACGCACTTCTTCAGGCATTCATGCCGAAGCGCGAGTACGAGAGCCTCCGAGAGGAAGACAGGGCGTGGGAGAAGCTCCAGAGACCGCTGTTAATGGCGTTTGTGGCTTTGGTCTGCCTCGTCATTGTTGTGTGCACGGTTATCAGCTTGAATATTGTGTTTTCGGCCAACTCGGCTAAGCGACCGTTCTGCGGCGACCGGAGGCTTAATTCGTTGATGAATGTGAGAGGTGGGGATTCTAATCCATTTCTCGGAGCTTTTTATCTTACGGATCAGGAGATTGCCGAGTACTATTGGATGGTTGTGTTCATTCCCTTGATCATTTTCTTGGCTACTTTCGTGTACCTCATCGCGGGTAAGGAAGTTGTTAAGCTCTACTTTAGTTGTTTCCAATTTGAAGTTGTTGCTTGAATGCTAATAAATCTAAGAGGGTGGTAGTTAAAATTTTAATTTTTGTGTTTTTCATTGATTTGGGTTGTGGAAAGGTGGAAACTTGGTCAACTAAGAATGCATTAAGATCGAAAATCTTGTAAAAAATGATTATGATTAGTGATAACAAGCCGAAAGACTTGGGGAATCTATAGGTTATATGTTGGATAGTTGTGAAGTCTTGCTATACTTGCTTAGAAAAATGATTAGAAGTACTATAAGGAAATGTCATTTCTAATCGGGGATTTGCTAGCTCGGATAAATCATGGTCTAAGTATGTCTAAATCGTAGGTTAGTGTTGGCTTGGTGGAATAGATTTATGCTTATACTACCACAAGTTGATAGCTTTATAGAGGATGCAAGATGATTATGGTTCAAAGATGTAAGCATGGGTGCATTTTAGTATTTTCTAGTGTCAATAAACTCAATCAAAAGGAAAAGGCATCAAACCCAAAATGGGGATTTATATGGTTCAACAAAGGTTGATTCACACTTCGTGGCCAGCTTCATGTATAAGGCATAATCTGCTTATGAAACGTAGAAATGGGTATTAATTGGCTGTGCATATAGCATGGTATAGAATTTGTCGTTGAAAGTACATTCTTTCATTGGATATTGTCTCATTATTCTACATGGATGATATCTAACATTTTTCAGTGCAATAGTTTGATTTTGATATGCTAAATGGTTCTCATAGTTTCAGTCTGGTTGCAGGAATCATTGTTGCTTATTCTGCTCCTACACGACATGGATGCTTAAAGGTTGTTGAAAATAACTATTGTGCTTCAAAAAGAGGTATCATCCCCTTCTTTCTCTCACTTTCTCTCTGTCAAACTCTGATTTTCCTTTTCTTTAGTGATATTTAGTGGGTCAAACTCATTTATAATTTGTTTTTTCATCTTTCACACACGATAGTTTGCCTCAATTGTTCTTGTTTTAATTATTGTAATGTTTCAAAGAATCAAATGAACACTGTATCCACTTTACGTCGGTCATAGCTATCTATTGTTTATCACATCTCCAAATCTTGCTTGGCTGTTTTGAGTTTTTACACCTGGTACTAGTTATATGGAGCTAATCACTCCTAAGCAATGAAGTTTTCGATGCGAGTTTAGTGTGGCAGATTTTTTTTTCATACTTTGTTTAGTTGCCAATGAGTAAAGAAAATACATGAGGATCTTACATGTATTTATCAGGTCGGGTAATGCTTTCTTTTGTTGTTTAAAGGTAGATCCAAGTGATTGATTGCATTCCTTAAGATTTTGTGCACTTCTTCTTGGGGTGGGCCTTGCCAAAACAGGCATACAAAAATTGTGGCCTTGAAAGTTCATCTATTTTATCACGTCATTTTTCTGTAGTAACACAAAATGTAGCATGTCCTTTTAACCTGTCTTTCATATCCTGGCATCTTTGGTCAAAAGCTTAGTTGCGCGACAACCTCTAGTGAGGTTTGAACTCTCATTTGTAATCTGCAGGTGGGGTTCGATGTCTATCAATTCTGAATGCCGTCTTTGCTGTCATATTTGGTCTACTTGCATTGTTTCTTGGTTCAAGCCTCCTCACACAAGGAAGCTTCTGCTTTGTGCCCCTTTTCTGGTGCTATAAGGTTGGTTCTTGGAAAATGGTTATTTTATATGGAGGAACCGCTTTCTTTCTAAGAAGGAGAGCAACGTCAATCCCTGATGAGGGAGACTTTAGTGGTCGAAACCTAGGGCTAGAAATGTTGGAGAATCCCATAGAAGTTTCACCAGAGGTGGAAAGGCGAGTTAACGAAGGGTTTAAAGCATGGATGGGGTCATCACTCCTATCGTCTGATGAAGAAGATGAACTTGGCAGTGATTAAGAACTTTCTTACATACCTCCGTCAACTCTAACATGCATATAGTGTGGTAATTACGTGAAGCCCTTCAGAACTAAACAGCTTCCGGCGGATTTTTTGACAAATTCAGGAGAGGATAGAGTAGTTTGAAATTCAACCTTGGCTTGTTGAAGATGCCAGCCTTGAAACGATTCTAGTGATGATGTAACACAAAGTGAAAGCTAATATTCGAACTTAGGATCATGTTGATTTTGTAACCTTTGTTGCACATTCCCTCTTTGGTAGCCTATGAATATCTAACCAAATTTCTCTTTCTCTCTCTCTCTCTCTCTCTCTAACAACCAAGTATCACTCCGATTCATGACTTCTCTTATTCTAAGTAAACACATTCCGGGTCTTTTTATCAATTTTTCTTTTCAACCTATGTTTTGGATGTGATGACTTGGTGCACAGTGCACTCGTATCATGCGACAAGTGATGCAGCCAAAAAGTAAGGACTTGTAGCTTCAAGTGATGCAACGGAATTGGAATTTATTTTACACAATTTTTTGTGCATAACGTCTCTTGATTATTAAAGGCATATTTGGTACTCTACTTGAATTAACTTTTTAAACTCAAAAACAATTTTGAAGTTTTAAGCCTTAAAAACTTGTTTAGTAGGAATATTTTCAAAAACTGAATTCAAGACTAACTAAAAAATATAGTCTATTATCTAGAAACATAAAAAATGAGTTTTTAATGTTTTTAAACTTAAACTTACTCATTTCTTTTCTCTCTTTCCTCCCCTTTCACTCCAAATCTCTCTCTCTCTCTCTCTCTCTCTCTCTCTCTCTCTCTCTTTTCTTTTCTCTCTCCTCTTTTTTTTTTTTTACCTTCTTCGTCTCTCTTCCAATCTGCTCTCTTCGTTATCTCGGTTCTTTCTCACTCCTCTTCATCTCTATCTCGTCCGATCATCCCTCTTCTTTCTCTTTCCTTCAATCATCTGTTACTTTCTTTCATCTTCCTCTTTCTCCTTCTCCTGCGACCCCTTCTTTTTAAATCTCTTTGTTTAATTTAAGTCGTAAGATTTACAAATTTTAAATCGCAAACCAATCAAGTTTTTGAGTTTTAAACAAAATTGTTTTAAAAAAAAAAGTTCTTAAGAAATGTTTTGAGAAATAATAAAAAATGTCGTTAAGAAAATTTTTAAAATTTTATATGCAGGACGTGCATATAGATACTGTTGTACATTACATGTTTAGCCCAAGTAAAGCGTAATCAAAGGCCCAGCCAACTCATAAGCCCAAACAAACCCAACCCAAACCCAATGAAATTCGTTCGTCAGTTAGTATTGCAGTTGAACTGAAGAGCGTAAAAACCCTAATCTCTCTCTCCTTCTCTCTCACCGAGCTGTGGCTGAGCGGCACATTCCCCTTCTCGGCTCTCTCGACATTCGAATTCCCAACAGCAACCACCGCCAATCAACCATGGCCGCATACGACTACGACGACGCCGGCACCTACGACGAGACATCGGCGACGCAGCGCCAACCGTCGTCCGGAGCCCCGCCGTCTTCCGACCTCGGTTACGACCCCAACTTCGTCCCCGACTCCGTCAAATCCTTTGTCGTCCACCTCTACCGCTACATCCGCGAGAAGAATGTCTACGAGATCCACCAGATGTACGAGACCTCCTTCCAGACCCTCTCCGATCGCCTCTTCAAGGACACCCCCTGGCCATCCGTCGATGCCGTCGCCGACTACGTCGACAACGACCACGTATTCTGCCTCCTTTACCGCGAGATGTGGTTCCGCCACCTCTACGCCCGCCTGTCCCCGACGCTGAAGCAGCGAATCGACTCCTGGGACAATTACTGCAGCCTCTTCCAGGTTGTCCTCCACGGCGTCGTTAATATGCAGCTGCCGAACCAGTGGCTTTGGGACATGGTCGATGAGTTCGTCTACCAGTTCCAGAGCTTCTGTCAGTACAGGGCTAAGATGAAGAACAAGAACGAGCAGGAGATTGCTCTTCTCAGGCAATTTGATCAAGTAATCATCGCTTCCAAATTTCAATTTCAGAAATTTTGAAACCCTAAACCCTCATTTGTGTTCTCAACTTCTCATTGTTGATTTTGTTGCAGGCTTGGAATGTGTATGGTGTGCTCAATTTCTTGCAAGCTCTGGTTGAGAAGTCGATGATCATTCAGATTCTCGAGCAAGAGAAGGAAGGGCTCGAGCAGTTTACTGCCAATGATGGGTATGATTATAGTGGTGGCAGTAATGTGTTGAAGGTGTTGGGGTACTTCAGCATGGTGGGTTTGCTTCGAGTTCATTGTCTTTTGGGCGATTATCATACCGGTCTGAAATGCTTGCAGCCCATCGACATTACCCAACAAGGTGTTTTCACCACTGTTATTGGAAGCCACATTACCACCATTTATCATTATGGTTTCGCCAATCTTATGTTGCGGAGGTACATTGTTCGTTGTGTTTTGATCTTGTTTTCGCTTTATGTTGACGTGTATCAAACGTTGTTTAGGGAGCCTTACGAGTATTGTTGGTTTTGTTGCAGGTACGTGGAGGCAATTCGTGAATTCAATAAGATTCTGTTGTACATCTACAAGACCAAGCAGTTCCATCAGAAATCTCCGCAGTATGAGCAGATACTAAAGAAGAATGAGCAGATGTATGCCCTGTTGGCAATTGCTCTTTCACTTTGTCCCCAAGTGAAGCTTGTTGAGGAAACTGTGAACTCTCAGTTGCGCGAGAAGTATGGTGAGAAGATGAACAGAATGCAAAGATATGATGATGAAGCATTTGCTATTTATGATGAGCTCTTCTCCTATGCATGCCCTAAGTTCATTACCCCATCTCCTCCAAGTTTTGAGGAGCCCCTTGTTAATTACAACCAGGTATGAACCCCAACTAGGTAAACTGAAATAAATGGTTTAAAAGAATTTCAATTCAGAAAGCAGTGGTATAACTTTCTGCAATGGTATAGCAGAAGCCGGCTTCCAGGACAAAATATATATAGTTCCCACATAAATTGTACTAATTTAGTACCTTCCATATATGACGATGAATATTCGAGGACATAGAGTTGTAATTATCTGTTGTTGAGTGTTTCATGCATTTTACATGATTTGATGATTGGCTTGATACATGCATAGTATCAGTTCATAAGATATTTGAAACAAACACTTCAGCAATAAGAAAATTTCGTAGACTTTCTTTGCACCATACTATAGGAAAATTGAACACCGTCTCTAGTCAGTCTGTGGGTTATAATGTAAAAACAGTTGTGGAAGGAAAGCTAATGGAAATCTTACTTTTACAACAACAACAACAACAAAGCCTTTTCCCACTAAGTGGGGTCGTCTATATGAATCCTAGAACGCCATTGCGCTCGGTTTTGTATCATGTCCTCCGTTAGATCCAAGTACTCTAAGTCTTTTCTTAGAGTCTCTTCCAAAGTTTTCCTAGGTCTTCCTCTACCCCTTCGGCCCTGAACCTCTGTCCCGTAGTCACATCTTCGAACCGGAGCGTCAGTCGGCCTTCTTTGCACATGTCCAAATCACCGGAGCCGATTTTCTCTCATCTTTCCTACAATTTCGGCTACTCCTACTTTACCTCGGATATCCTCATTCCCAATCTTATCCTTTCTCGTGTGCCCACACATCCCACAAAGCATCCTCATCTCCGCTACACCCATTTTGTGTACGTGTTGATGCTTCACCGCCCAACGTTCTGTGCCATACAACATCGCTGACCTTATTGCCGTCCTATAAAATTTTCCCTTGAGCTTCAGTGGCCTACGACGGTCACACAACACGCCGGATGCACTCTTACCCTTCATCCATCCAGCTCGTATTCTATGGTTGAGATCTCCATCTAATTCTCCGTTCTCTTGCAAGATAGATCCTAGGTAGCGAAAACGGTCGCTTTTTGTGATCTTCGCTAGATTGCTCCGGTCATTAGTGTGGATAAGTATATAAATGGATAGAGATAGGAAAGCAAACACAAGATGTACGTGGTTCACCCAGATTGGCTACGTCCACGGAATAGAAGAGTTCTCATTAATTGTGAAGGGTTTACACAAGTACATGGGTTCAAGCTCTCCTTTAATGAGTACATGGGTTCAAGCTCTCCTTTAATGAGTACAAGTGAATGATTTAGTACAAATGACATTAGGAAATATTGTGGGAGAATGATCTCGTAATCACGAAACTTCTAAGTATCGGAGTGTGGTGTCGTCTTGACTTGCCTTATCTGTCTCATAGGTAGATGTGACATCTTCTCTGGAAGTACTCTTCCTCCATCCAGGGGTGATATCTTTAACTGGTGGAGATGCACAAGGTAATGTATCAATTTCACTTGAAGCTTACTTGTAGTTTCAAGCTTGGTCAAGCGCGATACAAACCATGTAGTAGGAGTCCCCCAAGTCGCCGAGCTAGGGGGTCTGCTGAAAGAGGTGACAGACAAGGTAAGCAATCAGAGCTCCGACTGATTGTTCACATTCTCCCCATCTTGCAGCAGCATGAAGGATAAAGAGAAGAAAAATGAGAAGAGATGATATGAGATACTTTTGCTTTTGAAGAAGTAACTTTCCACAGGCTTATTCTTGAACTGAGCTGGAGGGTTTTCTGGTTTCCTCCAGAGTATAAGGCCGACTGAAGAATTTGAGGGTCAAAACAAGTCCATCAAATCTAGAGTACGTTCCACCCTGCTGATATGGGATACTTTTGCTTTTGACAGAGTAATGGATGTATCGGCACGTGTGCTGTTACGCTTGTCTCCACATGCTTCCTTGTATCCTTCGCACTTGCCTATCTGTTCCTCAAGCAGATGCGGAAATCTTCCCTGGAAACATAAGATGTTGAAGATGAGTACTCGAGAGCAATGCCAGGTAAGTAATCAGGTAAGGGGTTCCAGGCAGTCAGTTCCTGGCTGGAAGCTTGATTCCAAGTGCTGACTGATTGCTCTCTTTCTCCTTTTCTTGCAGGTAAAAACAAGGCCAAAGGAAAAGACAGGGAAAAAGCATGATATGGGATACTCTTGCTTTTAATCCTGATGATATGAGATATTCTTGCTCTAGTATAGCTTGTTTGCAGAGGTATTATCGGGGGGAAAGAAAGCTGAATATTTCGAAAGGCTTCGTTGGGAGTGCCCTCTCAGATATGATGAAGGGTTGAGCATTTTTGCAGGTCTGCCTGTCCGTTGGGGATGGAGGTCGACATATATAGGAGTCTCCCTAACAACAAGTAGTAATGCTATTCATTTACCCTGCTTGGTCATAGCACGGTAGTGGGAGCTGCCAGTTTCACATGTTTTAACTCTGTCAGAGCACTTTGAAAAAGTGGTTTGTGGTATCTGGCTCTCGAGATTCGGAGAACGATGCCTCTTCGATTTTTGAGAAAGCAATCATGCTGGGGGTCTGGCTCTCGAGATTCGGAGAGTAGTGTCTCTTCGATTTTTGAGGAAGTAATCATGTTGGGAGTCTGGCTCTCGAGATTCGGAGGGCGGTGCCTCTTCGATTTTGGAGCAAGCAATCCTGTTGGGAGTGTTGTCTCGAATGTGAGTAAAGGTTGGGCATGTTTGCTAGTCTACCTTGCCCCGAAGCACAAAGGTTGACACACAGGGACTTTCCAATTATCTAGCAATGGTACTGTTCCTTTACCCTATCTTCGCTTTTGAGAAAGTGGTCATGTTGGGAGTCTGGCTCTCGAGATTCGGAGGACGGTGCCTTTTCGATTTTGGAGCAAGTAATCTTGTTGGGAGTGTTTTCTCGAATGTGAGTAAAAGGTTGGGCATGTTTGCTAGTCTACCTTGCCACGAAGCACAGAGGTTGACACACAAGGAACTTTCCAATTATCCAGCAATGGTACTGTTCCGTTACCCTTGTGGGTAATAATATGGTAGCTAGACCTTCAAAATTTATGTGTCTAAACTTTGTTAGTGCTGTTTCTTTGCTATTCTTTTACCTTTCTTGGTCAGAGCGATGTAGTGGGAGCTGCAAGCTTCACGTGCTCAACTTTGGCAGAGAACTTTGGCAAAGTTATCTGTGGTACCCATGAGCTATTGTTGCGTGTGGGAAGTGGGTGATTGAACAGTAAGATTCATGTGCTTTCTACTTCACCAGAAGTCTTCGACAGAATGCCCATAATTTCTGCAAAGCTGAGTGTGCGTGTGACAGGTGCTGACAAGGCTAGAATAGTAGGTGCCTCTTCGATTTCTGAGATCGGCCCTCGTGGTCTCTGAGCAGCCCAGCTTTTGAGAAAGCGAGCGCCTCTTCGATTGATTCGGTGAACGATGCCTCATCGATTTTTGAGAAAGCAATCATGCTGGGGGTCTGGCTCTCGAAGATTCGGGGAGCAATATCTCTTCGATTTTTGAGAAAGTAATCATGTTGGGAGTCTGGCTCTCGAGATTCGGAGGGCGGTGCCTCTTCAATTTTGGAGCAAGCAATCTTGTTGGGAGTGTTTTCTCGAATGTGAGTAAAGGTTGGGCATGTTTGCTAGTCTACCTTGCCACGAAGCACAGAGGTTGACACACAGGGACTTTCCAATTATCCAGCAATGGTACTGTTCCTTTACCCTCTCTTCGATTTTTAAGAAAGTAGTCATGTTGGGAGTCTGGCTCTCGAGATTCGGAGGACGGTGCCTCTTCGATTTTGGAGCAAGCAATCTTATTGGGAGTGTTTTCTCGAATGTGAGTAAAGGTTGGACATGTTTGCTAGTCTACCTTGCCACGAAGCACAGAGGTTGACACACAGGGACTTTCCAATTATCCAGCAGTGGTACTGTTCCGTTACCCTTGTGGGTAATAATATGGTAGCTAGACCTTCAAAATTTATGGGTCTAAACTTTGTTAGTGTTGTTTCTTTGCTATTCTTTTACCCTTCTTGGTCAGAGCGATGTAGTGGGAGCTTCAAGCTTCACGTGCTCAACTTTGGCAGAGAACTTTGGCAAAGTTATCTGTGGTACCCATGAGCTATTGTTGCGTGTGGGAAGTGGGTGATTGAAAAGTAAGATTCATGTGTTTTCTACTTCCCCAGAAGTCTTCGACAGAATGCCCATAATTTCCGCAAAGCTGAGTGTGCGTGTGACAGGTGCTGACAAGGCTGGAAAAGTAGGTGCCTCTTCGATTTCTGAGATCGGCCCTCGTGGTCTCTGGGGAGCCCAGCTTTTGAGAAAGCGAGCGCCTCGTCGATTTCTAAGATCGGCCTTCGTGGTCTTTGAGCAGCCCAACTTTTGAGAAAGCAAACGCCTCTTCGATTTCTGAGATCAACCCTCGTGATCTCTAAGCAGCCCAGCTTTTGAGAAAGCAAACGCCTCTTCGATTTCTGAGCAGGCGCCTCTTCGATTTCTGAAGCTCCGTCGAGTGCAGATTTTTATAGGGGCTGGCATTAAGTTCCAAAGCACACTTGAATCTCCACTAGTAGAAGCTTCTTTCTTGCACTTCTAAGATCTTGATTTGTCCGACTCTTCTTCTCTCTTCAACACCTTTGAAAATGTCTGGCCCCTCCGACCGTCGTTTTGACTTGAACCTTGTTGAAGAGGCAGCCCCGCCTTCTCCAGACAACATATGGCGCCCATCATTCGTCTCCCCTACTGGTCCTCTTACCGTTGGGGATTCCGTGATGAAGAATGATATGACCGCTGCGGTGGTGGCCAGGAACCTTCTCACTCTCAAAGATAACAGACTACTTTCCAAACGGTCTGATGAGTTAGCTGTTAAGGATTCGCTGGCTCTCACTGTTCAGTGTGCAGGTTCTGTGTCTAATATGGCCCAACGCCTATTTGCTCGAACCCGCCAAGTTGAATCATTGGCGGCTGAAGTGATGAGTCTCAAACAGGAGATTAGAGGGCTCAAACATGAGAATAAACAGTTGCACCGGCTCGCACATGACTATGCTACAAACATGAAGAGGAAGCTTGACCAGATGAAGGAAACTGATGGTCAGGTTTTACTTGATCATCAGAGATTTGTGGGTTTGTTCCAAAGGCATTTATTGCCTTCGTCTTCTGGGGCTGTACCACGTAATGAAGCTCCGAATGATCAACCTCTGATGCCTCCTCCTTCTAGGGTTCTGTCCAGTACTGAGGCTCCAAATGATCCCCCTCCGGTGCCTTCTCTTTCTGGGGCTCTACCGACTGCTGAGACTTCTCCTAAGCAACCTTTGTGAAGGCTCCATCTTGTGTGTTTATTTTGACTCATGTATATGTACATATTTGTAGCTTATCGGGGATATCAATAAATAAGCTTTCCTTCATTTCAACGTATTGTGTTAAATACACCAAAGCCTTCTTCGCTAAGTTCTTTGAATTTTCTTTTGTTGAAGCTTGTATGTTGAAGCTTTCTGAGTAGAGCATGTAGGTTGGGGTAGTGTTCCTTTAATTTCTCGAGTGAGGAAAACTTCTCGGTTGGAGACTTGGAAAATCCAAGTCACTGAGTGGGATCGGCTATATGAATCTTAGAACGCCATTGTGCTCGATCCTGAGTCATGTCCTTCGTTAGATCCAAGTACTCTAAGTCTTTTCTTAGAGTCTCTTCCAAAGTTTTCCTAGGTCTTCCTCTACCCCTTCGGCCCTGAACCTCTGTCCCATAGTCGCATCTTCTAATCGGAGCGTCAGTAGGCCTTCTTTGCACATGTCCAAACCACCGTAACCGATTTTCTCTCATCTTTCCTTCAATTTCGGCTACTCCTACTTTACCCCGGATATCCTCATTCCTAATCTTATCCTTTCTCGTGTGCCCACACATCCAACGAAGCATCCTCATCTCCGCTACACCCATTTTGTGTACGTGTTGATGTTTCACCGCCCAACATTCTGTGCCATACAGCATCGCCGGCCTTATTGCCGTCCTATAAAATTTTCCCTTGAGCTTCAGTGGCATACGGCGGTCACACAATACGCCGGATGCACTCTTCCACTTCATCCATCCAGCTTGTATTCTGTGGTTGAGATCTCCATCTAATTCTCCGTTCTTTTGCAAGATAGATCCTAGGTAACGAAAAACGGTCGCTCTTTGGTATTTCTTGATCTCCGATCCTCACCCCTAACTCGTTTTGGCCTCCATTTGCACTGAACTTGCACTCCATATATATTCTGTCTTTGATCGGCTTAGGCGAAGACCTTTAGATTCCAACACTTCTCTCCAAAGGTTAAGCTTTGCATTTACCCCTTCCTGAGTTTCATCTATCAACACTATATCGTCTGCGAAAAGCATACACCAAAGGAATATCATCTTGAATATGTCCTGTTAACTCATCCATTACCAACGCAAAAAGGTAAGGACTTAAGGATGAGCCTTGATGTAATCCTACAGTTATGGGAAAGCTTTCGGTTTGTCCTTCATGAGTTCTTACGGCAGTCTTTGCTCCTTCATACATATCCTTTATAGCTTGGATATATGCTACTCGTACTCCTTTCTTCTCTCTAAAATCCTCCAAAGAATGTCTCTTGGGACCCTATCATACGCTTTTTCCAAATCTATAAAGACCATGTGTAAATCCTTTTTCCCATCTCTATATCTTTCCATCAATCTTCGTAAGAGATAGATTGCCTCCATGGTTGAGCGCCCTGGCATGAACCCGAATTGGTTGTCCGAAACCCGTGTCTCTTGCCTCAATCTATGCTCAATGACTCTCTCCCAGAGCTTCATTGTATGACTCATTAGCTTAATACCCCTATAGTTCATGCAATTTTGTACGTCGCCCTTATTCTTGTAGATAGGCACCAAAATGCTCGTTCGCCACTCATTTGGCATCTTCTTCGTTTTCAAAATCCTATTGAAAAGGTCAGTGAGCCATGTTATACCTGTCTCTCCCAAAAGTTTCCACACTTCGATTGGTATATTGTCTGGGCCTATTGCTTTTTTATGCTTCATCTTCTTCAAAGCTACAACCACTTCTTCCTTCCGGATTCGACGATAAAAAGAGTAGTTTCTACACTCTTCTGAGTTACTCAACTCCCCTAAAGAAGCACTCATTTCATGTCCTTCATTGAAAAGATTATGAAAATAACCTCTCCATCTGTCTTTAACCGCGTTCTCTGTAGCAAGAACCTTTCCATCCTCATCTTTGATGCACCTCACTTGGTTTAGGTCCCTTGTCTTCTTTTCCCTTGCTCTAGATAGTTTATAGATATCCAACTCTCCTTCTTTGGTATCTAGTCGTTTATACATATCGTCGTAAGCCGCTAACTTAGCTTTCTCTGACAGCTTTCTTCGCCTCTTGCTTCGCTTTTCTATACCTTTCACCATTTTCATCGGTCCTCTCCTTGTATAAGGCTTTACAACATTCCTTCTTAGCCTTCACCTTTGTTTGTACCTCCTCATTCCACCACCAAGATTCCTTTTGGTGTGGGGCAAAGCCCTTGGACTCTCCTAATACCTCTTTTGCTACTTTTCGGATACAACTAGCCATGGAATCCCACATTTGGCTAGCTTCCCCCTCTCTATCCCACACACATTGGGTGATTACCTTCTCTTTGAAAATGACTTGTTTTTCTTCTTTTAGATTCCACCATCTAGTCCTTGGGCACTTCCAAGTCTTGTTCTTTTGTCTTACTCTTTTGATATGTACATCCATCACCAACAAGCGATGTTGATTAGCCACGCTCTCTCCTGGTATATAACTTTGCAATCCTTACAAGTTATACGATCCCCTTTCCTCATTAGAAGAAAATCTATTTGTGTTTTTGACGACCCACTCTTGTAGGTGATCACATGTTCTTCTCTCTTCTTAAAGAAGGTGTTGGCTAAGAAGAGATCATATGCCATTGCAAAATCCAAGATAGCTTCCCCATCCTCGTTTCTCTCCCCAAAACCATGGCCACCATGAAAACCTCCATAGTTGCCTGTCTCCCTGCCCACGTGTCCATTTAAATCTCCTCCTATAAATAACTTCTCCGTCTGAGCAATTCCTTGCACCAAGTCTCCAAGATCTTCCCAAAATTTCTCCTTCGAACTCGTATCCAACCCTACTTGAGGTGCGTACGCACTAATCACATTGATAAGTTCTTGTCCTATTACAATCTTGATTGCCATGATTCTATCTCCTACCCTCTTGACATCTACAACATCTTGTACCAAGGTCTTGTCCACGATGATGCCGACACCGTTTCTCGTTCTATTTGTGCCCGAATACCAAAGTTTAAACCCTGAGTTTTCTAGATCCTTTGCCTTACTACCAACCCACTTAGTTTCTTGTAGGCACATAATATTTATCCTTCTCCTCACCATAACTTCCACTACTTCCATAGATTTTCCCGTTAAGGTTCCTATATTCCACGTTCCTAAACGCATTTTGCTCTCTTGAACTCTACCCTTCTGTCCTAGCTTCTTCACCCTCCCCCGTCTAATAGGATCAAAGTACTTCTTTTGTGTGTCCCGGGTAAAGTTGATAGGAGCATATGCTCCCAAACAACTTTGGGTGGAGTCGTTCGAAAAGAAGTTTCTATGGCCCCCTTGCTCATTTAACACTGCATCCGGGTGCCGATGGAGATACAGCGACCCTTGCTCACTTATCACTGTGCTCGGGCCACACAGCGCGCCACTTACGGGTGACGCCCTAGCTTTAGCGCGATTTTGTTCTGGATTCATTTTCATAAGGATTCGACGTGATCATGGAGTGCCGGCTGTCGACTACCTGACGCCCTCCCCCTCCTCCTTTATCCGGGCTTGGGACCGGCCATGTAAGACATAGGCGGAGTTGGAAATCTTACTTTTGTATTGGCAAAATGTCGTTGTGTTAGATTCTCTATTTGGGGAATTATATTATGTGAATGAATTTTCCGGCACGTGTGCTTGATTAATCAAATTCCATTTTAACTATTGCAGGATGCTTATAGACTTCAATTGAAACTGTTTCTTTATGAAGTGAAGCAGCAACAGTTATTATCAGGCCAGGACCTTCTTAAAAGTCTATTCATCCATCTCCGTTGGAAAGCTTGCAAGCTACATGGAAGTGGATGAAGCCAAGTTGAGGTACTTAATGAGGATAGTCTATTAGTTATGTTGCCTAAAATTCTTCTTTTGATTCTATGCTAATGTTGTGTCATTCTGTCTTATAGGACTATCTTGTTGACGTACAAGCACAAGACACATTCCGTTGATACTGAGGGAAAAGTTATTTCCAATGCTGATGTGGACTTCTATATTGACGATGTATGTTTTCTTCTATTACCTTCTATTTTTGTTAGTGGAAAACTGATCTAAGGCCAATTCAAAGTTCCAAGGGCATCTTTGTGATTTGACCTTTTGTAAGAAACTAGAACTCCTTCAGCACTTGGTTCATGGGACTTTCTTCGAGGTGATTATAAACCTGCCTCAAAAGATCTAAAACAATCTTAGCTCAAGTAAACACGTAATTTCTGTAATTAGTTTGACATAACTATGTAATTCAGTGCCCCGAAAGGAAAAGCAAAAAGAGTGGGTGCTTGTCATTGAAAATGGGTTCAGTTGTTCTGAATCTTTTGATATGCCCTTCTCTTACACTTGGTGACCTGCCTATGCCTTCGTCTCATCAATGACGATTTATTTACTGGGAAATTGTTAGCCTTATCTAGTGTAAATTGGACTAGAGTTAATCTAATAAGCTTAACATGCAAGAACTTTAAAGTTATATGGTTCAATCACTGTTTTGGAACATTTTATTCATTTAATAGTTCTAATCTACTGCAGGACTTGATTTCCGTCGTCGAATCGAAACCAGCAAAACGATACGGTGATTACTTCTTGCGGCAGATCGTGAAGGTATGCAGAACTCATTGTTTTCCCATCTTATTTAGCAACATTAGGGAAATGCTTAGTTATCTCTTTTTTTAATATCTTGAACTTTTTCCGTCGCAGCTTGAAGGTGTGATCAATGATATGGACAGGGTAAAGCTTGATTGATTCATCCATCACTTTTTTAGTTTACCTTCCTCTCCCGCGATTTTCGCTTATTTAGATTTTTCAACAATGATGTCTTGAGATGTTTTTTCTTCATCTTTCGAATACCTATATGTCTCATGTTTCCGCTCCTTTGAATTGGCGGATGTGGTTTTTAACTCTTCAAATGATCGAAAATGTAATTTTCACCTGTTGTGCCTATCTACTCAAAATTGCTAGCATGGAATTTTCGCAAGTGTTTATTTTTTTCCTTGAATCCAAACAATAATTGGGTGTGTGGTATATAGCTATCGAAAATGTAATTTTTACGTGTCACGTGATGAATGAGATATTAATAGTGTTAGTATTGAGAGTCGGGGGGGGGGGGGGTCGCTTTGAATATGGCGTGGATTATTTACTTGTGTTACTTATTTTATGAAACTCGTCAAAAGAACCAAGCCCTACTCTATTTTCGCCCTCATCGCGTGTTGTTTTTCGCTTATATTCCTTTGTTTGTACGACGCCTCGGGTAGTTGTGTCATTCTTCAATGTATGAACTTGGATTCACTTCACATTGTTTGTAATGCTCATGTATTTTTTTTTTTTTAACAAACAATATTATTCACATTAAATGAATGAGGAGTGGGCTCAGCTCTCAGTTTTGGAGTCGGACTCATCTTCGAAGCGCCAATCAGGTTTAGGCATGAATTGTACATATGTTTGAGGTTGGAGAGATAAACCTAATCTTCGTGCACTAATGCGATAAGGCCCCCACATGTGGTCACTCACGCTAATTGACTTGAGGGGAACGCAACAATTTACGACAGCGCCAATTACGTTGATTTCCCTGTCGTTTTTTCATTCTTCTTCCGTTGTCTTTTTCCTGGTACCATTTTTCGTTCGACAAGTATAAAACTTTTTGCCCCACTTATTTATTGTTTGTCCTTCTAATTGATTTGATATTTTATTTTCAGCAACGGATTTATAACTCAATCAGTTTTTTTTTTTTTTTTTTTTTTTGTGAAATGATAGATTCGTTAGATTAGAGAGCTAACGAAGTTTGAATCCCATGTTGTGGTGGAAGGGCAACGCTCATTTCTACCATTGTGATAGAGAGCTACTATTAACATTTGCACCTGCATTTTTCTGTGTGACTCCACTCTTATCCTATATCATTTGTTTTAAAAAGAGAATAATGTATAGAGCAATAATTTTCTACTTCATAAAATGCATGATTGTATTTTTAGAGTGTCAATAATAATTCTAAAAAAAATATTGGTTTCGTATTGAACATCTATTGTTTCACTAAGCAAATAGAATTTGAAAAAGAATCAAATGTGGTGTCGTTGCATGTGCAATTGCAAGGTGTCGTTTTCAAAATTTCTAGTCGTTGAGAGAGAATTTATGGATCAATAAAAAATATAAAAAAATTAGTCACCTTTTGAAAATCATCTAGTTTAAAATGGATAAAGAGAATTGGAGATTTTTTTAAAGAGAATTTTTATAGACTTTTTGTCACTTCATATTTTTGGTATAATGTTGGCACGGTGATTAACGTTAAACTATAAGAGGATAGAGAGTCCATAGAAAATTTCACTTTTAAAAGAGTGTTCTTAACATTTCGCATGAATCAAATTAATATTGACTATTTTTTTGAACCGAAGTATCCAAGTGGCCAAAATAGAAGAATTAACCTATCAAGATTTAGTCAAATTTTATATTGTGTACTTAATTTACTTTTAATTAAACAATTATAAATCCTTGGGACAGATTTGGTTGACATTTTACGGACACGAAGGCTGCGTCTTTAGTGTTTCCTCGTACTTGGTTGAATGTTAGGTGTGCGGTTTCAACTTGGATATGCACACATGCTCTTCATCTAACATTCAACTTGGATATGTTTTTATCCTAAAAATTGTCTTAATTAACAACTGGTATTGATAGGAGTGCGAGATAACTATTTGGAATGACTAATAATATATATATATTTTTATTTTAATTCTACTTGCGGGTCAATCATTTCATCGAAGACTTACATACCAGAGGAATTCTAGTGTGGCGGTATTTCAGTCAATTGGACATTGTCATGTTTTATTAAGATAAACTCGAACACACTGTGAGTCGGATTCAGTTTTTATTGTTGGAGAATAGAGCCTTACATAGAAATACAACAAAATAATTGGGAATTTCACACCTAATATCACCAATGCCTTCTGAGATATCGGTGATGTTGGTGGTGCACCATGTTGATCTTAAAATGTTTTGACACCTACAAGCCAATCACGATTGTCATGTCAAAATGTTAACTAATTTGAGGACCACCACAATTTGTAAGTTTCTCTCCATTTTATGACACGTAAGTTGGGCATGTTGCCCAAGCCCCTAACAAGATAACCAGTTCCCACATGCACAACCTCCAGGCAGTCACCAAACCCCATCCCAGCAACTCTCCTTCAAGGGCTTCAAACCCCATGGCTTTTTCTCAAGAAGGATGAAAGGTTGAATATTATATAATTGTTGTTTGTCCTGAGATATATATATATATATATATATATATATATATATATATGTATGTATGTATGTACTTGCTAAGTAGCTAGAAATAAATGCGGGTTTTGGTAAATAGTGCCGCTGACTGAGAGAAAAATGGTGGGCAGTGCAAGGCTTTGCTTGCACAACTCCATGAGAGCTGTGAATTTATTTGTCAACGTTTGTGGAGTTGGAGTCATCATCTACTCCCTTTGGCTCATCAAGAAATGGCAAGTTGGAGTCTCTGAGCTCCCTCCCGTCGCGCATGTCCCCAAGCCATGGTAAAAAAGCTCATATTTCTGCTCTTTATCTTTCTATGGTACTGCGTTTATCCTCGCATCCGAGATTCCGTGTGCAAATATCCTTCTTGAATATCGCTTCTATCGAAGAAAACGAAAAGGGTTTTGGTTATATTATGCGATAGACTGATAGGCAGAGGCAATCTGCAGTTTTTTCTTTAATTCTGTTATAGTTTGCATTTGTTAGAAAATCATCGGTTGCAATTTTGTTTGACAGGTTTATATATACATGTTTAGGTATGGGAATTGCTGTCTGCCTGAGCACCCTTTGCGGTCATATGGTTGCCAATTCCATCAGCAGTTTCATTCTCTTCATTGTATCCTTTCTGGTGATTACAACTTTTCTATTAATTTTCGGCTTCAAATCTTTGTTATAATGTCTAAAAAAAGCTTGGCCGGTGATTTTCGCACTCGTTTTAACCTCCTGCGCTCCTCCCTTCGAGTGCAGTGAGTGTCAGAATCGCAATCCAAAAGTTTCCGTCCTTTTTTCTTGAACTTTTTACCGGGTTTAGGAATTCCCAGTAATATGTTAGGAGCCTATGTTGTTTGCAATTTGAATCTAGTTTATGAATGTTTACACAAATTTCATCAATCTGGTTTGTCCTTAACCAGTTCTAATTAGTACATAATCTCCATCTTCTGTCTTCTTGGCATTGAGGTTGGAGTGATCGTCAATATTTTCTATAGGATGGACTGGGAAGTGGTATGCCTTCCTGCACTTGTGATTTTTATGTGGTGCATTCAGTCATTAACTTAAAATCACTTTTTAAAGAAGCTGCTTTTTTGTACAGCAATTTTCAAAGTACATTGATGAGCATCACACCCTTTTCAAAAACTTCTTGACATTTCATCTAAACATGTGCCGCCTCATTGTAGTTCTCATCTTGATACCACAGGTAAAATAAAAAACCCTCTCTTCTTACTCAACTTCGGAGATTGTCTGAACCGTTAGATCAGCATAATTATTGACTTAACGGTTCAGACAATGTTGGTACGACAGAATTTCCCATGACTCTGAGCTAAACGCAAGTCCATATTGCAGATCAAAGCTATTGTGCTAGCGATCATTCTTTGGGCCATTGGTTCCGAGCCGAGGGCGGATCAATGCAACTATTCTGATGTCACAAACTTCACATATTCGTTTCTGGCAGCGCCTACACAATCTTTACTAGATATATCGCGACATGGATTCCGAAACTATGAAGTTTCGTCAAGAGAATTCGAAAACCCGCCACGCCCGAGTTTTGTTTCAAATGTAAACAAATTTTTCAGAATGCATTTTCACAGAAGAGTCACTCTTAGTTAGGGAAGAAGTATATAAGTTTTGGGTTTAGGGTTCCCCTGCATTTTTGTATTTTGGTGAAAGGGGAAGTAATTGTACAGAAACTACTTATTCTCTCCAAAATTAATTACTTGAAAAGCATTTGTTTACTTTCTGTTGATGTCTTTGTCTTGTTGAGAGAGGAACTGTGTTTTAGGGTTGATTTGAAATCCAAGGCAGTATGGTCTGAACAAATTGGGTGAAGTAGCATATTTATTTTCACGTGTTGGTATATATGACACATCTTCTAAAAAATGTTTTTTTTTAGTCAAAATGGTCTTTTAAAATTTGCATAACTTTTCACTTTGGTCTCTTAAATTTGAAATCAATAAAAATGATTCCTGAGTTTGTCTACCATCAATCATTTTGGTCATTCCTAGAAAATTTTCCATTAAATAAAGATAAAATAACAAAAATAGCCTCAGTTTTTGTTAAATCTTTTTGGCTTATTGTTTATTACATTGAGGCTATTTTTGTCATTTGGTCCTTATTTAACATAATTTTTCAAGGAATGACCAAAATGATTGGTGGTGGACAAACTCATGCGACACTTTTATTGATTTCAAATCTCAGAGATCAAAGTGAAAAGTTAAACAAATCTCATAGACTATTTTGGCTAAAAAGCCCCTAAAAAATACTATTGTTAAGGCTGTGAACGAGTGGGTTGACGCCTCCCATACTATATGCACTAGTGGTCCTATAGTGCAATTGTCTCTAGCTTGGGACCTGCAGGAAGGCGAAGCTTAATGTGGATGGCTCTCGGCTCAACTGGAAATATAGGTGTTGGGGGAGTATTACGAGATAAAACAGTGGTGATTGGCTTGGGTTTTCGATCAGCTTGGGCAAAGGGCAAGTGGTTGGTGCTGAAATTTGGGGGTTTTATTTTAGTCTATAACAGTAAACAAAAGTATTTCAACTCTTTGTGTGGAGATGGACTCAGCTATAGTGGTTAATTCAATTAAAACTATAACTAACACCAGCTTTTATCTTCTTACCAACATTATTGATCAACGCAAACAATTTATGGTATGGATAGCAGATTGCGAGTTGGTTCCTGTCTACTGGGAGAAGAACATTGTGGCGAACAGCCTTGCTAATTGAAGTTATAATATGAATCTTGTGTACCATCATTTTGAGAATTCACCTGAATGGATTGGAACTCATTTATTTGATGACATGATCGGAGTCTCTACGATTCGAAGTGTTTGTAAGAATTTATTGAGTTAGTTTTGGGTTGTTCTACCCCCTTATGTTACATTTATTTTTTATGACAAGCGACATTCTATACTAAATTTACATTATGGAAAAGGTAGAGGGTTTAAACTCCAAACGCAGTGGGTTGAAGAAAAATGTCCTAACCATCATAACAATCCACTACTTGTATTGAAAAAGAAATTTAAACATATAAAACTGACGTGCATGAGTAAACACATTTAATTACTTGAGATAAGAGTCGCTTGTATCAATATCTTTGTATTAATTCCAAATTCCAAAAGCTTCCTAGTCAGTCCTTACACAAGTGAAATTTGAAGACTGCATGAGCAAGCAGTCACTCAAAGCAATCATGAAACCTTCGGGGATTTGCAAATCAAAATGCCCAAGACCAAGGCTGTCTCCAATCCAAAACTCAAAATCCTCGACTCAAATCAAATGTTTGGGTCAAAAGATTGTGGCGGGTAAGAACCCATTAACTTTTTTGCCTCCAAATCCAAATGTTTGTGTGTTGCCGTAAGAATTTTTTGTATAAATTTTCTCACTTTCATTGCATACGACATTAGTGACAATCAAGTGAGATTACAAATACAGCTAGTTAAAACAAGATAAGTAGATTTTCAAATTTTCAATCACTGTGAAAATTTTTAAATTTTCAATCACGCTGCCAGTTAGTATTATATTCTTCTTTACTTGTAATAATAAATGAGAAGTCGTAAATTCCGACCTAAATGATGAGTTCAGAGTTTCATACTCATTTATTGTGCCACCTTGGTATAGATATTATGGCCATTGAGAAAATCACAATCAAAAGGAAGGCCACCTTCAAGTCTGCTGTCGTTTCCCTATCGTGGGAGGCCACTATCTGATAAAGCGCATTGTCGGTTATCTAAACTTGCCAATGCCGTTTAGTGCAGGTGTTGGTGAGTCCCCGAAATAACAAAAACCTTCACCGTAGGAACCCAACAAACACCTGTCCGAAACTCATAAGCTCAGCTCCACCACAACCAGCCTGCTCCGCCACTCTCTCAGCGGCGTTCATGGAGTCCCAAGCCGGCGGTTCCGTATTCTCCCACGTCCCTCAGGTCCCTGAAGTCCCACTTTACGCGGTAAAATAAATTGATTACCACATTTTTGCTTTAAACTTTTATTCTTTTGTGTTTAGTTTGTATGAAAACATGAATGCGCGGGTTAGACCAGTTGATCAGGACAGCATGGCCGCTTTCTTCACGCGCCATCCTCTTAAGTTAGAGTAGTTTAAAATCGAATATCGTCCAGTCAAGAAGTAGAGAGTTTTAAAGAATCTTTTGTTTCTTTTTGGTTTGTGAAAAACAGATGCAGGCTGCTTATGGCAAAGACCCAAGTCCTCAGAAGCTGAATTTGGGCATTGGTGTTTACAGAACTGAGGTGTGTTTCCGTATTTTGCACTTCAAAATTCTTGCGATTTTTAATTTTTTCGGCGCAATTTTACCACTTCAAACAATAGATTACTGTTTGTGAAAATACTTGTGATCCATTTAATTGTGATTAGTGACTAACTAATCTTAGCTTTACAGAACTTACAATATTACAACTATCACTTAGCTTGTTGAATTTCTTGCTGACTGGACCCATCAAGCTGACTTGGATTATATTGTGAAACAATGTCCTTGAGGACCTTGACAAAGTTGTTAGCAGTTAATACATCCTTGTTCTTACTTAATTTTTATGCAACAACAGGATGGGAGACCTGTCCTTTTAGATGTGGTTAGTCGAGCGGAGCGGTTACTAGTCAATGACTTGTAAGTTGTAAGGTGTCTCGTTGTTCTTGCAATTGTAATTTGCTTCGAGTAGCGATTATACTCCGGTTTGGATGATTTTCAGGTCCAGTTTTAAGGAGTATCTTCCTATTACTGGAATGCCAGATTTCAACAGATTGAGTGCTGCACTCGTTTTGGGTGCTGACAGGTATTGGAGTCTCGGCCTAATCCACATTATACTATGTTAACGAACTTTGCACCATATGGATACAATACGGGTTTCTTTTGCTGATTGCGCATTTCAATTTTTTTGGAATCATCAGCCCTGCTATAAGGGACAATAGAGTGACTACTGCCCAGTGCTTGTCTGGTAGCGGTTCAATAAGGATTGGAGCCGATTTTTTAGCAAAGCATTACGGTCAAGTAAAGCACTTATCCTTTTGTCTTTAGCTTTTACGTGTGCTGATGGATTCGTGTGGCATGGACTGATTATGTACCTTTCTCAGCATCGTATAGTGTACATGTCCCAGCAAACATATGGAAACCACCCAAATTTTTTCTCAGCGGCGGGGATAGCTATTAAGACTTACCGTTACTATGACCCAGGAACGCGTGGACTGGACTTTCAAGGTAATTTTCTGAGTATAAATGCTACCTTCGCTTTCCTCCCTTCTACCGTAGATTGTGTATTCTGTAGATTCATCTATTATTTCTGTCAGAAGATCGATAAGAGCTATTGTGAAAATATTTGTTTAAAATCTATAATTTGTTTGCGCCTAATATTCTATCCACAGTTTTCCAACCGTTACAATGCTTGAATGTTCTTTCATTTTTCAATTTTGGTGAATGACAGGCATGCTGGAAGATCTTCGTTCTTCCCCAACAGGAGCTATCGTGCTTCTCCAAGCATGTGCGCAAAACCCCACTGGTGTTGATCCAACTATGTCACAGTGGGAGCAGATAAGACAGTTGATCAGATCAAAAGGGTTGTTACCGTTTTTTGACTGTGCTTATCAGGTAAGGTACTGTTTCATTAAAGGTCCAGAACACCTTGCATTTTTCAGTTTGCTAGGATCCCCCGAGCGTTGAAGCCTGCGGGTTCTTGCACCTGAGAAATAGGTGCAAGTTTCTTTATATACCTTCATCTAGGGTCTCTATGTAGGGTTTTGTCAGTGGAAATCTGGAAGAGGATGCGCAATCTATTCGCCTTTTTGTTGCTGATGGTGGTGAAAGCCTTATAGCCCAGTCATATTCAAAGAATATGGGACTTTACGGAGAACGTGTTGGGGCACTCAGCATTGTAAGACACCATTTTTTCCTACATTGAAAGCCCGAAAACTTAACATAAAATGAACCTACTGATGCTTGCTTTTATAGACATCTTAAAAACCTTGTTTTATCAGTAGTTCATGTATTTATACTCACTCCTTCTACTACTTTCTGCACATACCGGCTTCAACGGATTTTCCTGAAATTAGAAATCATAAAGCTTTTTGTTTGATAGGTTTGCAAGACAGCAGAAGTGGCTAGTAATGTCGAAAGCCAGCTGAAACTCGTGATCAGGCCCATGTATTCTAACCCACCCATTCATGGGGCAGCCATAGTGGCTGCTATCCTAAAGGACAGGTATTTGGTTATACGAATGTGTCTGCCTTTGTGCAGTTTAACTTGAGGGCACTGCAATCAGGAACATGTGTCTGCCTCTGTCTGCAGGGATATGTACAATGAATGGAGTAATGAAGTGAAGGCAATGGCTGACCGCCTTATGAGCATGCGCCAACACCTATTCAATGCGCTGCGTGACAAAGGCACTGCAATCTCTCTCTCCCTCTCTCTCTGAAATTTATTGTACTGGCAGAAGGATTAACACAACTAAAAGCATGATTAGTCGCCTATAGAGACCCTTTTGCTTCTGTTGGTTCGAGTCATGTTTTTTCAAGCTCTCTTATGAAATGGCAGGTACTCCTGGTGACTGGAGTCACATAATCAGGCAAGTGGGGATGTTTACTTTCTCAGGATTGAGCCCTGAACAAGTTGCCTTCATTACAAAAGAGTACCACATCTACTTGCCATCTGATGGGTAACACCCCACACACTACAAACTTAGCTTTTTCCCCCAATGCATGTGTATTTCCGCATACGTAGTATTATTTTTTGTTTCGGGTATAGATTACGCAGACAAGAAATGTACTCTCTTATGCAATCCAGTTTCAATATGCAATTCTAGGGTCCGGGGCATGATCTGTCAGTGCACGTCAGTTCTTCCACCGGAATTTTCATAGATCGAACACATAATTTTACATTGGGGCACAGTTTTACGGCATGACGGTACAACATAATTTACTCACTCTTGTTGTTACTGTGCAGGAGGATTAACATGGCAGGTCTTGGTCCTAAGACAGTTCCTCATCTTGCAGATGCAATACATGCAGCTGTAACCACTGCTGTCTAAGCCAATGTTGAAGTGCAAAAGAGGGCCAAATTGAAATTCCCTTGTAATCCAAGGGCCACACTAGAAATGAATTATTTTCCATTGGTATTAAAAATAGAAAATGTGAAGGAATGAATTATTGTCAATGACATTTATGTTATGTCCATCCACTAATTGGTGTAACCCTTGAGCCAATGATTCCTCAATTGAATAGACATTCATTTCTCAATTGATTGGGCACATCATTGTAGGCCACGATCTGATATATTAGAGTAGTTTGAAATAAAATATCGACTTGCTAAAAAAGAAATTATAAACGGATGTACTTTTTTCTTTTTTGTTTGGAAAAAAAAAAACAGATGTCCCCATGAGGATTGGTGTTTATAGAACTGAGGTAGGTTTTCATATTTTCACTTCAATTTTTCCGAATATTATATTTTTCAACCCAATTTCCACGTCAACAATCAACATGGATCCTTCTTTGTGGTGCATTGTAGAAAAAATTTAAATGTTCTTGTTAATTAATTTGGAATCGGAAGTAACTTATGTGCCAATCACAATTTGACGCTATGACACGTACCTAAAAGTTGTACTTTTTGTGTTTTTTGACGAAGTATTTATACACATGTCAAACTATGATTTGCAGACAAGGAGCCAAACTGTTTTCTGTTGGATAGCCATGACCTTAACACAAACACTTAATACATCCTTATTCTTCTTTAATTAATTCTTAACCAAAAACAGGATGGAAACCTCTTCCGTTGAATGTTGTATGTAGTGACACATCCCGACCCGAAATGTCCACCTGGACAACTGAATCGCTGCTTAGAGAACTTGCGATTACACTCCGATTTGGATGATTAATTTCCAGGTCTAGTTATAAGGAAGTACCTTCTTATTACCGGAATGGCGGATTCAAACAGATTGAGTGCTGCACTCGTTTTGGGTGCTGACAGGTATGTTGGAGTCTAGGTCTAATCCGCGTTTTATTACGTTGACGAATAGTGCACGATATGATACAATGTGGATTTCTTTTGCTGATTGAATGTTTCAATTTTCTTGAAAAAAAAAAGCCCTGCTATCAAGGAGAGTAGAGTGACTACTGTCCACTGCTTGTCCGGCAGCAGGTCGCTGAGGATTGGAGCGACCCGCTGCTGTGACGAACACACAGACTAGATTTTCTAGGTGATTTTCTGTGTATAAATGCTACTTGTATTTTCGTTCTTTTGTATACCATTACCCTGCATCCCGCCCTTATATTGTAGATTGTGTTTTCTGTGGACTTAATCTTATTGATTATTTCTGTCAGAAGATCGATAAGATTATGCAGGATAAGATATGCAGGCTAATAGTGACAATACTCTATTAAAATTTAAAACTATATAATTTGTTTTTTATTTTATTTATAGATCTAATTACTTGTTTTTAATAAAAAAATTCAAAAACAAAGGAAGAACGTTGTGTGCTTAAAGATTCATTTAAACATTTAAATTACAAATTTTTTTTTAGTACAATGATATATTTTACACTAAGGAGATGGAGAGTTCGGCTAAGTTACACACATGTAAATTACAGTTTAGTTCCTAGATTATTAGGTAAGCCATGTCACATCACCATTCTTGGATGGGTGCTGGGGGACTTTTAAGTCAAGGTGGACCTAGACTTTGAGAATGTTCTCTTGTCTCTCTTGCTTCGGTTTTGTGCATGTCCCGGTATCTCGAAAGAGTTAGCTTGTCTTAGAAAATATTTCGGTTAGATTAAAGACTCGAAGATGACATGATTAGGCAAAAATAATGACTTGATAAAGAGAGACATGGTGTGGACGCTATAAGTTTATCAGTTTGGTATGAGAGGAAAAGTTTGCATCGTTGTATGGTATTCTAGGTTGGATAATCTGGGTTTCCTAGGGTGGTAACAAGGCTTCTGATGGTTGGGATCTTAAGAGGAAAAGCGACGGAAAACACCAAGGTTGCAGGTATCTCCTCCTTCCAAGCTTTGAGGCTCTCTATGTTATGATAGATCCCCTTCTCTAAGGTTGCTGACATATATTTGTAATTGAATGATTCTTTTTCAAGGAATCTCTAATTGTGGCGTAGTTCTTTTTTTCCTTTCTCCCTAGTTCTTCTGCCACTCTCGTTTAGGTGCAAGATGACTAGGCATTGCCACCTTCTAAAACCTGCACCATGCCTTCTTCCCAAGGCAGTGCCTTCCCGAGTCAGCCTTCCACATGCGCTACATCTGGTAGCGTGCCCCATGGCTTTCGTGTGTTGAACTTCTGCGTGAGTTGGAAAGTGAAAGTCAGCCATTAATGCATGTTTGGTTGGACATTCACGTGATTACAAGGCTAGAGGATTTGGTTTCTCCCTAACTAAGTTGGTTAACTCCTTGGGAAAAAGGGAAACTAAGTTTTGGTTCTCTCCCAAGCTTACCTACATGAACCTCAAAGGTTTTGGGCTTGGATCTTTGAGCACCCAAGCAACCAAAGTCTTCCATAATCTTGACTCCACATAGGCCCGATAAACTTTCGTAACCATCCACACCACAATTCACTTGACAAGCCCTGAGCATGTGATTTGAGCTTATTTTAGCGTAAATAGTGGTTAGCGTGATAGAGCTCTTGGCATGACTAATATGCATGGGTATGGCGTGATTTATATAAACATTTGACTTAATTATCGTAGTGTGGCATGATTGTGAATATATTCTTTTCACCGTCCGACACCTTTACATGTATTTGGGTTTGACTTGAGGCTCGTATGACAATTGGATCTCGAAACTTGATTGGATTTGCATGTGACATTTTTTTGCCTCAATGATGGATAATGGTTCAGGTTCACCCAAAAAGGAAAAAATGAAAAGGAAAAGAATGTAATAGAATATGTGCGTTGGTTGGTCCTTAATTATTTGAACCATCCTTAATAAAAATGTCAAATTAAAATGTTAAATTTCTTTTTTATAGTTAATCTGGCATAATAACATTGTGTAAAATACTCTATTCCAACTGGGATGTCAAATTAAAATATATTTTTTTCTAATTTGTTGTTCTTATCCGTTAAAGATAAAAAATTATAAGAATATTAAAAGCTTAATTGCCCGATTGCCCGACAGTCAAGACGCTTTACACAGCGCGATACGAAAAAGGCGTATTTTAAGCCCCTGAACGAATAAAACTGCCTAACATGCGCCCACAGTTCACATCAGTACAACAGCCCGCGCCCACAGTTCTTCTACTTCCTTTACTAGTAGTGATCGGAGGCAAAACGCTCTGGTGGGACACCTCACTGCCGAAGAAGATCAATCGTCCTCCGCCATGGATGCTCACAAAAACTCCATCTCCGCCTCGCCAACTTCCGCCCACGCCAATTCCGTCTTCGCTCACGTCGTTCGCGCTCCCGAGGATCCAATCCTTGGGGTACTCTCTCTCACTCAAGCGTTTGATCTTTGCGTAAATCAGTTTACGAGATTTCATATTTTCATGTCATTTGTAGTGCGGGAGCTTTGATTTCGGTTGCGATTAAGCTGAACAGTATTCATATTTTGGTGATTGATTTGAATGTCTATCTGTATTTTGATCGTTCGTGCCTAAAATCCTTTTCGGTTTTCGATTTCGGAGTAATTTTATCCCTGTTGTTGATCGTGATACATAAATTAGTTTGATCGCGCGTGTTTATGTTTAGCTGAAGATCGATCGTATTAATCCCTGACAAATCTTTTGAAAATATGAACAGGTGACTGTTGCTTATAACAAGGATCAAAGCCCTCTTAAGCTGAATTTGGGTGTTGGTGCTTATCGAACCGAGGTGAGTCTGTTTTGGACTGAATTTAACATGATTACAAAGCTTTACTATGTATTGTTAGCGAAATGTATGTTCTCTAATGTATGGGACTCGAGCGTGCCGGCTCACACACAGAGCTGATGTTTGTTTCATTGTCAAAATTATGCACGTCTTTGTGACTGAATGATTTTCATTTCAAAGGCAGTGGCACTAGTTTTGTTATCGTCCTTTGCGAATTTGTTAATTTCTTAACCGCCTTTGTGTTCGTGGAATGACAGGAGGGAAAACCACTTGTTCTGAATGTGGTGAGAAAAGCCGAACAGCTGCTCGTTAATGACATGTAAGCTATATTGTTGTCAGTAAATTGATTTCGCTATTAATTTAAGAAGCTAACATTATTGACGTTAAATTGGTTTGTGACGTTAATCATCGACTTATGGTTCGATTCCTCATTACATCCAGGTCACGCGTTAAGGAATACCTTCCTATCGTTGGACTGGCAGATTTCAATAAGCTGAGCGCTAGGCTGATTCTTGGTGCTGACAGGTATAAAAGACTAATTGATGCCTTATCCTATCCTTTTTGCTTTATCATGTTTTGTTCGGAGGTGGATTTATCAGTTGTTTTACCGGGTTTCAAGCATAGAATTTACTTGCTTGTCACAGCCCTGCTATTCAAGAGAACCGGATTACTACTGTTCAATGTCTGTCGGGAACTGGCTCATTGAGAGTTGGAGGTGAATTTTTGGCAAAGCATTATCATGAAGTAAGTGCTTACTTGTTGCATCGTCTCTTGTTTCTACTATTGTGTTGATAATAGTTCAGCGAACTTAACCTCATCTATTTTACCGCAGCGCACAATATACATACCCCAGCCGACATGGGGAAACCACACAAAAGTTTTCACTCTGGCAGGGTTGATTGTGAAAAGTTACCGGTATTATGATCCAGCAACTCGTGGTCTCAACTTCCAAGGTTTAGAACTAGAATTGTTCATAGTTTCTTCTTATCTCTATCACAGTTGAATTTCTTTCCCCCAACTATTTCATCTTCTGACATTATTTTTTAATTTACTAATAGTTCTTCCCTCGTGGGGTAAATTGCAGCAGGCCTTATAACGTGTCTATTCTTCTTTCTGGTTTAATACTCTTTTCATTTCGTTAACAGGCCTCTTAGAAGACCTCAGTTCTGCCCCAGCTGGAGCAATTGTACTTCTCCATGCATGTGCTCATAACCCCACCGGTGTTGATCCAACTCTTGAGCAGTGGGAGCAGATCAGACAGCTCGTGAGATCAAGAGAATTATTACCTTTCTTCGACAGTGCTTATCAGGTAGACCGCGTGTAGAGTTCCAATTTCTCTACACTCTAGTTTCTTCTTTCTGTTTAACATCATGCTATTCCAACTTCTCATGGTGAACTGTTTTCTTGTATTTGTAGGGTTTTGCTAGTGGAAGTTTGGATGGCGATGCACAATCTGTTCGTAGGTTTGCTGCTGATGGTGGAGAGTGCCTTATTGCTCAAAGTTATGCAAAAAACATGGGTCTGTATGGCGAACGTGTTGGAGCCCTAAGCATTGTAAGACTCATCCCATAACTTTCAGTTGTGAGTTCCCTTATTTTGATGCATCCCACTAAAATTTAATATGAAAAAACTCCATACTTGCCATACATCTTAAATTGTTCTTGATTACATTGGTTGTTGAAAATTCTACTTGAACATAGGTATGCAAGAATGCTGATGTTGCAAGCAAGGTTGAGAGCCAACTCAAGCTTGTGATCAGGCCCATGTACTCGAACCCACCCATTCATGGTGCATCAATTGTAGCGACCATCCTCAAGGATAGGTACTCTTTGATTCTTGTTCATATGCGTGCGAAATGACAATAATTGACTTGATGTATCATCAGCTAGTTATTGAACTCCGACCCGGAAATAGTTTTTCCTTCCCTATTTGATTTCTAGTTACCTTATCACTTAATTCTTCTGTGGTCAGGGATTTGTTCAATGAGTGGACAATTGAGTTGAAGGAGATGGCTGATCGTATCATCAGCATGCGTCATCAACTTTTTGAATCCTTGCGTGCCAAGGGTGAGTATTTCCATATGGGTATATGACAGTCTTGGGCTAACTAAAAGTACCAATGTCAAACTCATTTGATCTGCGTCGGACATATAGTTTTTTAATCAACGTGCGGATGGAAAAGTTATAGGGTGAAGAAATACAAACATAACTTTTATGAATTCCCATGGCCGTTTGCATAGTTATTTCACCTTGCTGAGTTTTATATTCCACAGGCACACCGGGTGACTGGAGCCACATCATCAAGCAAATCGGAATGTTTACCTTCACCGGATTGAACTCCGAGCAAGTTGCTTTCATGACTAAAGAGTACCATATTTACATGACATCTGACGGGTAATCAATCAGCATTAATCATGAGTTCTTTTATTTAACGAAGCCTAATCTTCTCTACGTCAAGGATTTGTCCGTCTGTTATCATTAATTACATCTAGGATAGAAATTTCGTAGCAGACTCCTTAGCGAATATTAATATCTAAACACACGTCTTGACGCAAATAGAGTGAGCATTTGCAGAATGAGGCGATCGATTTAATTTTGTTCTTCGTTTTTGCAGGAGGATTAGCATGGCGGGTCTGAGCTCGAGGACCGTCCCTCATCTTACGGAGGCAATACATGCCGCTGTTACTCGCGCTGCCTAGTCATATGTTTGGAAGGCAACATTTTCTTGTGAGCCGACTCCAATATTGGACTCTTCCCGTTCTACAGTTTTGTTGTAATAATTGTTTTACCTTATTAGATGAGGTTAAAGATTTCTCCGACTAAAGATAAAATGAAGAAAATCTAAGGATTTTTGAGTTTTGTTTTCGACCTTCCCCATGTTACAATTATATGCATTCATGTCAAATTTTGCGAAATATTCATGCCAAATTAAAAGTTTTTGGGTCTTCAAATATATCTCTTTCGTATACCATTGTTTCGTAATTTTTGGAGACTTTTGGGTTTCAATAGTATGGGACGACGTAGTTTGAAAAATGAAATGTGAAGATTGAGTAGTTTTGAAAAATGAACGGTGACGATTGATTCTAATATTGACTTTCAGAAATGAAACGGTGAAAATTGTTTGTAAAGCTGGGCTGCTTATTAGTCTACTGAAACCCAACTGTATTTATAATTGCTTTTGGAAGGCTAAAGCGATTTCTGACGAATAAACGCACTTTTAGCTGCTTCTGGCTTATAGAATGGTTTTCTCAAGAACAAATCTCAGATGTTTCATAAAAAAGTACTTGGTTTTCCATTAAAAGTTTCAACGCCCTTATATTTAAAACACTTATACTACTATAACACGTCACTTTTTATCACTTTCTATCTAGAGAATCACTCTCAAACCAGAGCAACTTACGTGAAACGGGTTTACCGTCACGTGTCGTCTCGATTCAATAATATACTATCATGTGGAAAAAACTTGCACCAGGCAATGTATTATTGGATACAGAACATCTTGTGGCAGTAAACACGTTCCATGCAAGTCCTTCCAAACAATCTTCAAATTTCACCAATGGTAGAAAGTAATTTTTATTTGTCATTAAGTGGAATGTAATCCTAAGTGGAACAGTTAAATTCCCAATAGGGTAATAAAAAAACACGAATACAAAGACACATTGAATAGCTCATGAACAAATTTCTTTTTTTTTCAACCAATTAGTTAACTTGATCCAGACGTTGTAACAAAAAATTAAAAAGAAAAATAAATAAATAAAAAAGGAGAGACAGAACTACATACATATATGGATAACAAAATCTAAGGACCCAAATAAAAAAACTAGGGCAACCTTCTTACAGGAGGCTACTTATCTGCAACCCTTCAACAAATAAGAAGTCGGACTTGAGAAGCTTTTGGCATTAGACGCAGACTTTACATTTTCTGTTCCCTTCTTCCCCGGCGTCCCGCATTCGCTGAAGTCGAGGGTGCGACGCTCCACCTACGAAAATGTTCCCAACATGATCAGCTCATTTCGTTACAATGATACCAAAACAAACCATTGGGAGCCGAAAATAATCGAGAAGCCTACACGAAAAATAAAACGGATCCTACCAAAACATCGGAACCCGAAAGAGAAGCACTCCCCGGCTGATTAGGTAGCCCCTGCTTGTTCTCGAGGCCCGCAATATCTCGGTCTTTCTGTCTTTCCTGGAATAAACTTTCAGGAGTTTCATTTCCCAAAACCTCCTGGGCATTGGCATAGGCAGCAGCACTCTGCTCACTTATCTGTTTCATCAGGCCAATGGCATCATAGCTTCTATCCCCTGGGCTCATGAAAAACCCTATATCCTGGAGAGAGGAAAATCGCATTGCATTATATTAATAACTGACCCATGACCACGTAATTTGAGAAGATAATCATCTGCCAGAAATTGTGGTTACCTCAATTGTAATTTCAGTATCAACACTAGGGCCGGGGACGAAGGAGTTGATGAACCAAGGAGATTTCCATGCGGAAGGAGATTCGATACTTCTCTTAAAAGGAGTACCACCGAACCTAGAAAAACAAACACCGTCACCAATGAAACCCGTCAGGATCAGGTATTGAGAGTATTCTAGAACTACAAGAAATCTTACATGCCGAATATGCCGGAAACAATGACAATGACAAAATCTTACATGCTTTCAATACTGACATCATTGCCGGCATTATCACCAGATGTCTCTGGGGGAACTGACGAAGAACCAGATTGTAAGCATTTATCTGCAAGACTTTCATGCTTCTTTATGCATATGGTGGGGGTTTTAACAGATGAGCATTGTCTTGCAGAGAAAGATTTAGAAGGAACTCCTGGGTTGGTGGCTTCAAAGCTTTTACGTAAGAGACTTTTAGGAGTTCTAGCAGTTGAGCCGAAGGGTTTTTCAGCTTTACAACCAACTACATCAGGAGAATTCAGTAGCAGATCATTTGTGTTACGTTCAACAAGAACTCCAGAAGGTTGTGCCTGAAAAGTGCAATAAGAGAATTTAATACTACAAACAAATGCAATATAAATTCCACCAATATTAAGTGATTGGCCAGTAAAACCCATATTAGGTGATTGGCCAGTACAATATTTATCCTTCAGAAGATGCACAGGATATAAAGCCAGCAAAATAAATGCACGAGAAACTCACACTTTGTGTAGTTGGGACGAGATCAACCTTACTCTCAGCATCAACATCAGAAGTTTGTTGGAACTGCTTTCTCTTTTCCTGGGATTGACCGTCATCAACATCTTTCTGTGCAGTTCCATCATCTGACATTGCGGTGCTGTCAATCCCTTTTTCTACTTTGTTTTCACAGGTACCCTTGTTCTCTTTATCTTCAACAGAGGCATCAGAATTCCTTTTCTGATCAGATGATGGAGAAAGTGAATCTTCTTTGTTCTCTGTATCTTCAAACATAACATCTAGACGTGAAAAATCTCTGGCCAAGCAGGAGGTCACGTCAGTCCCAACCCTTTTATCAAATCTTCTATCGGACAATGGCGACAATGGAGACAACAAATCTCGGTGTCGTTTCTTCAAAATAGATGGCGTGCCTGTAAAAGTTTTAGCAGCACTTTTTAGCAAGGCATCAGGGCTTCCCTCACGCGAGGGTGAATCCCATAACCTATATGGAGTGAGGCAATTCATAGAAGACATCATCAGCTGACGAATGCCGAGGGGGCTATATTCTTGCTGCATGTCATTACCAGATTGTATAAGATCACAACTAAAAAATGGAATATCCAAGCTTGGAAAGCGAGGAGGTTCATAACATAGAGAGCCAGCATCCTGCTGTTCTGTCTGCTCATTTGAACTCACATCCACAGGACAAGTTTGCGCGTCCAATCCCAAAGCAAATGTATTTACAGGGACTAGTTTTGAAGAATCACTAACCAGATCGGATTTGCAGGGAGAACTGGCAGACTCGTTAGTATAGATAAATCCATCATTTGAACTTGTCACAAACTCTTGATCTTGAACTATGAATAAATGAGTAGGTTCTCCAGCATATATCAGTGGAGTTTCATGAGCAGAAACTACTTGAGAGCAAGAAGTTCCAATTACACCAGAATTCAGAGGATGATATAATTGTGAAGCTGAAGTTCTGCCAGGGTCAGATATTTGGAGGTTTGATGGTTGTAGAAGTACTGAATCTGTGCAAGCACCCAAATCAACCATATTTGAATCATCTGTAAAATCTCTAGAGGGAAAACACCCATCATTCATTGAAAATAATACCCTGCAGCATTCATCGTCAGATATCAACATGTGCTCTGATTTAACTGAACCCACGGCCATGTTCCCCATGGAAGTAGAAGTTTGAAACGGAGCCTCCACCCCTCCATGCATCCTTAATGATTCCTGGCCGCATTCTAGTGAAGAAATGTTAGGTAACTCATGCAAATTTAACTGGAAATCCCCACTCATCGAAGCTCCAGCATCATGTGAGAAATTTTGTTCCAGGTATTTGGAGCAAACCAATTCAGGAGGTATTTCTGGGATGGAAACATTGGCATCTCCTATAGATGGGTAATATGGTTCTGAACAAGATACTGGACTGAAGCTTGGATCATTTGCTAAATGGGATACTTCATTATTCTGAAATTCCTCTATAGGATGAGGTACCACATTGGCCATTTGTGCAGAGCGACCAGCAACGGTTGAATCTTGACTGCATTCTGAAATTTCTTCGGCTTCTGCACCTTTGGCACCACTATCATCTCCACTGCTCTGCATCCTTGAAGAAGATGACATCATGTGTTGGCTTTGATTTCCAACATGAGGCATTCCTTGAAACTGTGTAAGTAAACCTGATTTCAAGTAAGAATCCAACTTCTTCTTCACAGAACTGTTCCAGTGATTTTTTATAGCATTGTCTGTCCTGTTGACCATGCAAGTACAGATATATCACAATTATTGCCAGTGCACCAGACTAAAAGGACATACAGTAGTAGCAATGGAAGACATTCATTTTTTTAAATGTATACAGAAATAACAGAGACTCTTTGCCTCTAGATAACATATGGGCATACCTTCCAGGCAAGAACTTCGTTAGCTCTGCCCATTTGTTCCCATACATTTGATGAGCACGAATCAGAGCCAACTCCTCTTCCTGTGTCCATGCCTCTTTGTTTATGCCAGGATTAAGATGATTATGCCACCTAAAAGTAGTTCCAACATGGTAAGACAAAGAAACAAATACTAGATCAGGATTGAAGAGTAACAGGATTGTATCAATGAAATCATCCACAGGAAATTCGGTTATCATACCTTTCCCGACACTGCTTACCAATACGTCCAGGTAAATGCTGTGCAATAGTGGACCACTTTTTTGGACCATATTTTTTCACCAACTCAATAATAACATCATCCTCCTAATCAATTTTGCAGAATAGTAAGGAAACATTGCATGTAAAAAAGAGAAATATGAGTTGATCAGACAAAAATCTCAAAAAACAAATGAGGCGACGAACGAACACAAAAATAAGATGCAAGTAGTGAGATGCGATACCTCTTTAGACCACGGACCTTTGACCAGTTCGGGATTCAAGACTTTCTGCCATCTATGTAGGCATTGCACATCAGTCCGATCCTTGAAACACTCCGCTAATAATAGCCAAGATTCCAATTTAAAAATGTATTGAAAATAGATAAATTAAAAAGTAGCATCAACTGAGATAAAAATGTTTGATCAATTCAAATACTGGGGGAGAAAGAGAGCAAGAGAGAGAGATATAACAAGGCTAAAGTTTAGTAAAAACTATCTTTAGTCTCATGACATGCTAACAGAGATGGACACATTGGTATCACAATAATACCTATTTTTTTCCAATTCTTTCCTTTAAAACGCTGAACAGCCCTCCGCAAGATCTCATCCTGCATAGACAGAATAAATTATTGTCCGCCACATATTTCATACAGGAAGAGGGATAAAGAAGGAATGACAAATATGCATATAGCTAGGACAATGCGTTAAACAATACACAGTAATTTGAGATTTGAAATATCAATGATGTATCAAATAAAGTAGCTTAAATAATTTTGAAATTTTCTTTGTAAAAATTTCGACTTCCAAGGTACAACAGCTACTTTTTACATCAGGTGTTAATATGCACCAAGCCATAACCTTATGCATCTTTTTTTAAGGCATCTAATTTAAAATGAAAATCTACCTCTTCAGGTGTCCATTGTCCCTTCGTAGAACGCCTCGTAGGCCCACTAGTCCTCCTACAAAAGAGTTGCTTAGATATCAGAAAAAAATTGAGTTGCATAACTTACTCCCAATCAAGGAGAATTTTACCATACTAAACCAAAAGAAAAAAACGAGAAAGAGAGAGAGTCCTATAACATATAAGATCAAACAATGCACACACGCACGCACTCACACACGACACCCCTGTAATTGGTAAGATAATGTCTTAATGATCAGTGAACATAAGCACTCTAGTTTAAAAGTTTTCAGAAAACACTGAACACATCCTTGTGTGCATTATCCTTCTTTCATTTCACTGAAGACAATCGAGTAGGTTGACAGGAATAAACATGAAGGAAATTAATTTTAAATGAAGGAGATTGTCAAAGGAAAATGGAGAACTGGAAATGACATCAACAGAACAATGAATAGTCTTCAACAGAATTACCCATGGAGAGCTCGAGCTTTCTGATTGTTGTCACCAAGCACTTCTGAAGGAGTAGAATTTGTTCTTTCACCTTCCATAGTTAAACAACACACAAGTCAAGCTGCATAACGCGACTCCTACTCGACGACTCTCTCTAGTATTTGGACTCCAAATCATGATAATCACCCTAAGCAATGGTGGGGCCGACCTTGTTGCACAGAAGACCCACAAACTGCAAAAACACAAGAAAGTTATGAGACATTCCACAAATGAGATCAAGAGTATAACCTAACAAATTCAAATTCCCAAATCAATTTGAAGAGGTCTGAAAATTGGAATATAAATATTCGCTCTTACTCAATGAATCAATTTGTATTAAATTCGGGATAGATCGGTACAGACCAAATGTATACAGATGATCCCATCAGAAACGGGGAAACAAATGAGAATAATTTGATATGGCAATTACCGCATCAGAATAAGACTCGCATAAATCCAGCAACAAGCATTTAAACGTATCACTTATATGTATATATACAAAAATAAAAAAGCATGGTAACAATGGGGAGAACTAACAAACTACAAATTAAGAGACATTCAGCTCAAAATCGATGATAGAAACTCATCAAGAAATGAAACCGCATATGGAGAACTAACAAACTAAAAATTAAGAATTGATAATCTAACCTCAATTGTGATTTGATTCAGCAAAAGCTTAGTAATTCGAAGATAAAATCAAAGTTGGCACACAAAAACACAAAATTCACCAAATTCTATCCACTACAACTTCAACGAGTCCTCGATTTCAAACTGAATAATGGGGTAGAGTAAATTTGTAAATCGATTGTATCTAAATCAAATTAACTAAAAATCAACGAAAATTTCTATCAAAACCCAGCAGATAATCCTTCACACACTAACAAATTATCGAAAAGATTCAAAATTCAATCAATCCCAACTCGCAGAGAACTTCAAATCTGAGACAGAAAAGCTTCAATCACTAGATTCAATCAAAAAAATATTGGGATCAATACAAAACAGAACATTCAACTCTAGTCAAAGGAAAACCCTAAATCACTTACCGAACTGAGCTTGGAAGAGCGAAGAGAGAGATTCCACTGAGAGAGAAGGTCGACGACGATCGCAACAGAGCACCTTTGACGATCGAATCGAAGAAAGGGAGAATTTGAAAAACGATCTGCTCACACACAGTGCGGAGTAGAGAGAGGGTGAGAGAGTGAAATGGTCCGGAGCTCTATTCAAACATAAAGGGGCGGACTCTTGAAGTTTCAAACCTCGAGTTTGAAGGGACGAACGGTATAGAATTGAGGCGGCGAACGGTACAGATTTTGCCACGTAGGACTTGATGCCGACCCTTTCCAAGACCGGCTTTACCCTCTTTTTTTTTTTTTAAATTTCAACGGCCATATTTTTGCTTATTAAGTAGGGTGGTGACTGCTGTGCATTACCAATTTTCTCCTCTCTTTTTACTTTTAAATTTTTCTTTTTCTTTTAATATTTGGATTTTTGAAATTTTAATTTCGATAAAAACGAAATGATTTTGTAATTATGGTGCCGTTTTTTCACTAATGGAAAAGTAATAGCATATCTCAATCCACTAAGGGTTGATTCGGAATTGTGGTTGTTTCAAAAAATGCAGTTTATTAAAAAAATTTAGAACATTAAATATATTTGGTAAATTAAAAAAAAAAACTTTTTTAAAAAACTGCTGTTAATGAAAATATAAAAGCATATAAAAGCAAAAGCAGAATCACCATGCTTTAGAGCAAGTCCACCCTTGGTTGTTGCTCAGGGGATAGGCGAAGGGAAAGGGCCCGAGGGCCGGTGGATAGGCCTCCACCCTTGGACAGCCCGAGTGAAGGTGGGAGCCCAAGGGCCAAGCCCGTGAAGAATTGACAGGCCTGCAGCCCGAGTTGTGTTTACTTTTTTAATTTTTTTTGTGTCAGACGCGTGCCCCTCACTCGAGTGAGGGCGCGTCAGCCGACAAGTTCACAGGGCACAGGGCCCGCACGCGCAGGAAATGCAGGTGACCGTTGGAAGCCACGTGGCTTCCCACGATCCTTTCGATCCCAACGGCTCTTTAATACGAGCCGTCCGATTTCTAACAGTAATAAAAAAAAGTGATTTAATATCAACCGTTCGATCTGAAATCAACGGTTGATGTTAATCTGCTTTATAAATTTAAAAAAAAAAGAAAAAATAGTTTTAAAATTAAGAAAAGTTACCGTTGTGACACGTGGCACAATCTAGAATGTTGGAATTCAAAATTTTTTAAATCCAACAGCGGAGATTAATTATTTGAATAAAAAAATTAAAATTGTAAAAAATCCGAAAAAAATATCTGAATTTTTTTAAAAAAAATGTTTCTACTTTTCTATAAATACCTTCTCATTATCATCTACCTTACACCACAATTTCATATTTTCTCAACTACTTTCAATCAAATTCCTGTCTTTCTCTCAAAGTTTCAATCCAATTTTTTTCAACAAAATGACTACTGCTGCAGGTACGAATTGGTCGCTTCTTGAAGATGTTGCGTTGTGTACTAGTTGGGTTGAAGTTACTCATAGTTCGCTTACGGGTAATGAGATGCAGTTGCGAGAAATGTGGAGTCTTATTTATACTAATTATCTTGAGAAAATGGGTGGGAGTAGAACCAAAGAATTGATGTGTAGTCGTTGGAAATTACTTAGCTAATCGTTTACTATTTGGAGAGACGCCTTGGCACAAGCTAGTAGTAATCTTCGAAGTGGGGAAAATTACACGGATCAGGTAACACTATATTATTTATTTGTTTATACTATACCCAAATTTACATTGTAATTATTTGTTTGTATTATTTATTTGTTACCTACTTTAATTATAATTATTTGTTTGTATTATTTATTTGTTACCTACTTTAATTATAATTATTTGTTTGTATTATTTATTTGTTACCTACTTTAATTATAATTATTTGTTTGTATTATTTATTTGTTACATACTTTAATTATAATTCTTTGTTTGTATTATTTATTTGTTACCTACTTTGATTATAATTATTTCTTCTTCCCCATTGTATAGCTAATTCAAGCACAAACTTGGTATGGTGCCAAAAGCAAAACCAAAAATAAATCGTTCAACCGGTGGGAATGTTGAAATATTGTCAAAGATTGTCCTAAATTCAGAGTTGTGTTTGTTAGTCCAAAAGTTGTTATGAACAGCACCCTACTATTTTCTACACCTGATAATGGCTCGCAAGAAGATGATGCAGAAGAGGTGCCCGAAATGCCAATCCCTGAACAAGCGTCGGGTTCGACCCGTTATCCAATTAGGCCTCAAGGTAAGAAGGCTTCAAACAGAAAAGGAAGTGCTTCCAAGCATGATTATGCAAAGTACATGGAAGAACTTACTCACCATAGTGAATTGACTTTGGCGCGGGAAATGACGAAATTTGAGGCTGATAAGGCTAGATATGAGGCAAAAGCTGCAGCTGTTGAGAGAGAATTTAAAGCTAATCAGAGAGAAAGACAACTACTTAGGCAAGAAAGGGAACTGGTTAGAGAAGAAAGAATAGCTCAACGAGATCGTGAGATTATAAACACGCCCTTAGAAGGGAAGTCTCCAAATTCTAAATATTTTTGGAAGTCGGAGAAAGAGGATGTGGTGCGTAGGAGGCGTGCAAGAGAAGCGATGAGTAAGAGGAGATAGTTCTAGCACGACAACATAAGATCATCCTAGCACCACAAATTGGTTAAGTGATGATGATTAGAGTACTTTTTGTAATCGGAGCCCATAGTTTTCCAATCACCTTGGGTGGTAATTTATTATTTATTGAATTGAGTATTTTATGTTGTTTCGAATTTATTGAATTTAATACTTTATTTAAAGTGAGAGTAAATATATTTATACTATAAGAGAATCTTTATTCAAATGACATAAACACACCAAATAAAATTACATAAACACACCAAATAATAAAAACCTCACTAAATGAACTAAAATAAAACACACCAAAAAAAATTACATAAACACACCAAATAATAAAAACCTCACTAAATGAACTAAAATAAAACACACCAAATAAAATTACATAAACATACCAAATAATAAAAAACACACTAAATGAACTTAATTATTGTTTATACCATATTTAGAGCCTCGTATTTAGATCTCGTACAAATATTCGGGGGACTTAAATGTAATTATGTGATAAAGGCAGGGGCAAATATGTAATAAGTGAGGAGTCTTTATTCTATAAAAGGACCCCTCACCCTCACAATTAGAAGAGGCTCACTCTCACCCTCGGAGGCCATTCCTAAGCCTTCTCATCCCTCTCACATCCCCTCTCATATTACAGAGGCTCTCTCCCTCACTTCTCAGAACAATACAATACAATCAGTGTGGACGTAGCCCAAACCTTGGGGTGAACCACGATATATCTTGTGTTATTTACATTTCTTGCAGATTCACGGTCGGATTTACGTTGTACCAAGACCTCCAGTTTTGTGCATCAACATTTGGCGCCGTCTGTGGGAATCGACACGAAAAGCTATGTCGGTTCTTTCATTTTTTTTATCTCCACCTTGAATCTGCAAAAACCCAAAAATTTCCCAGAAAGCCCACGGAGCCACCTCCTCTCTGACTCAATCTCTCTCTGCAATTGCACAAACCACATGCATGGTCTCCCTCTCTCTTGCTACTTTACTTGTGCAGTTTCCAAGCCCAAATGAGTACTCTTCTTTCATGGGCGACTTCTCAACAGTCACTGGAATAGCAACATTCACTTGGGCAGAACCCCATTGAAGTTAAGCTTCAGGATATGATCAATGAGGTTGATGTTGATGGGAATGGGACCATTGGTCTCCCGAGCTCCCATGAATTCGATAACCTTCATTTATCAAGTCTGGTCTCTTCTGGGATTTGAAGACTGTGGCAAGTGTTCCTTGATCAGAAAGTCCTCTCAGCAGCAACCTCTCCCAATGGTTGTAACCTGCAAATATAAGGTTTTTCGCGGTGGCATTTCTCTGATATTTGCTCCGCCTAGTTAACAAGAAAATCTTGAAACCCAACCACTCAAGCTGACTGTATAGATTTAAACTTACTAGGAGAGCAGGAACCTGAGCCAACTCCACCTACCCATCGAAAGATGCTTCATCGAACGTCTCTGATCCGAATCTATGTGCATGATAGGAGGGCAAACTCGAAAGCAGAGTCTCATCGATGTCGAACACCCACGTATCATTCCCGTCGCCGCCTGTCGTCACCCCCTTCATGAAAACGCAACTGGGTTTTTTCCTGGGAAGTGATCACGACCTCGATCCGAACCGCCCTAACCCAAACCGCCGACTCGGACAAGGCCAGAAAAACGGCCTCACTTTCCGTGACTTTCATCTCCACCAAAGCATCGGCGCCGGCGACATCAGCACTGTCTACCTCTGCACACTCAGAAGCAGCGACTCTTCAAGTCCGACCGATTAGGATACCGAGTCTTCGTCCTCCTCGTGGCTTTACGCCATGAAAGTCGTCAACAATGAGGCTCTGGTGATGAAGAAGAAGGTGCAGAGAACCGAGATAGAGAGGAAGATCCTCAAAATGCTTGACCACCTGTTCTTGCCCACTCTTTATGCCGAGTTTGAAGCCTCACATTTCTCCTGCATCGTCATGGAATATTGCTCCGCCCCACTCCCTCCACCACATTCAGCCTCACAAATGCTTCTCCCTCAACTCCGCAAGGTTCTACGCTGTGGAGGTCCTAGTGGTGTTGGAATACCTCCACATGCTGGGAATCATCTACAGGGACTTAAAACCCGAGAACGTGCTGGTCAGATCGGACAGTCACATCATGCTCTCCGACTTTGACCCCTCATTATACTCGGACGCAATCCCTGCCAGCTCAACCACCAAGCAAAGAAAAAGAAAGGCCCATCACTCTAGTAAAAGCAAAAGCAAAACAAGGAAAGTAAAAGCAAAAGCAAGTGAGTGTGTCTGGAGGTGGAGAGATCAGAAAAAAGGAATAGAAAAGAAAAAGAAAAAAGATTGTGTCGGTGGGAGAATATTTCAGAAAGTAGAAAAGAGGAAACAAAAACAAAAGCAGAAAGCAGAAAGCAAAAGCAAGGAATAAACACCCTACCAGAATGATGTGATTTACTTTTCTGGTTTTTGTATGGTGTAATTTATTTTTCTTATCTTTTGTAGACATCTGTATAAACCCCATCATAGGGATTAAAAAATAAAAATAAAAAAAATAAAAAAAATAAAAAAGGCAAAGC